CTACTCAATGACCAATCTGCCTCAGTTCCTAGTCCTATTTTGTCTTTATTATGATTTACTAAACATATTTCTCTTCTGATGTTGAGCTAGCTTTATGGTTTTACGATTAATACAGAAACAACCTGGAACAGCATTTTGTCACTTACCTTAATGAAAGCGCAGCATTATGAGACTCTGCCAGAGAAAAACACGGCAAACATGTCAGACCTTTCTTGACACGTATTTACTCTTCCATTGTATTTCTAAATTTTCTTCCTCTTTTTCTAACATTTACTGGGTTCTAGACACCAACTTCTTCCAGGAGACCCCGGATAGGACCTCCATTCATGATAGTTTTGAAACAATGTGAGGAGAAGAGATGTGTCCTTGGCCTAATAGGATGAAGAATTTCAAACGTGTGGTTCCGCTTTAGGAAGAGACAGGGCTGCTCTTAGTTAGGAGAGTAGTTTATTTTCTCCAGAGGTTAAATTGAAATGTTTTCTGGCATTTCTCTTAATGATAATGAAAATGGCAAAATACATGTGCATTAGTCTACTATTTTATTTGAGGCAGGATCAAAGATTCTTCTGACGTGCTAGACACACCATGGTCTTACCAGCAGCAATGGTGAATGGCTAAATAGGAATATGATGCAAATCAGCATACCCAATCAGTATTATGATCTGAGTTCCAGGAAGAAAATTTCCAATCCTTTTAATTCTGCCATGCACCATTATTTCTTGCCAAATGAAGAAAAATAAAATAAAATACAAAGCATCCGCACTGAACTTCGAACACGTCCTTACATAATAGTTTTTATTCCATCAGCAATAAAGTGTCCTCGGAGGACCTGAGACCCACATTCCTGAGGACATTGCTTGACATTGATTGATTGCCTTATAATATATTTTCCAAGCTACCTGCTTGAATGTTCCCACCACAAATATGGCTCAAAATCTAGCCAGTCCTCCTGAGTCATTCCACATGACCACTCCTCTCTGCACTCTGTACTTGGCTGATATTATTTCATTTGGACTTTCTAATACCCCCATTTAGGTTAATGTGATGTTCTATTGCTCCTCTGCTTGTTCCATAGACTCTGGATGGTACCACCACAATTTTTGAGCACAGGGACCCTCTTCTATGTCTTTCAATCCTTGAATCTCTCAATAGTTGGCATACAGTAGGAGCACACTGACTGCAGTCAGAAGCCCTGTGGTTGCTGTCTTGGGGCAGCTCAGCTTTCTGGGATTGACACTATGCAACACTAAGTGGGGTTCTCCCTGTGGAGGTTCCTGAGCCTCAGACGTAGAAGGAGAAGCCAAGCCACTCTCCTAGCATCGTATGGTAGCTATCAGCAGTGAAGGCATTTTGCAGAATGGGGAGCAATAAATAAGAAATAACTGTCTGTACAAGACCTAACAAGATGGCGTCTCAGGACCCTGCTCTTCCTGGCTGTTTTGCCCTTACCCTCATAGTCAGAGAAAATAATTATTGAATTCAGGTCCCCGTTCCTGTGTTATAACCCCCTTGCACCAACCTTCCTTCTTCCTGTTTTTCTTTTCTTCCTTTCTCCTTTCCTGACTCTTCTTTCTTCATGCACTCCTATCCTTTGCCCTTTCCTGATTTTACCATTCATGGAGTTTCCCACGATGCTTTGCAGTCAATATTATGCAAATTTAAGGATGAGAAAGGCTTGATATCTGCCTTCCAGAAACTTAAACGCTCCTTGGGGAGATGAAACCTGAACACAGGTAGCAACTATATGGCAATCAGATGAATGGAGAGTTTAAGGAAGGAACACTTTACAAAGATGTGAATAATGTTAGGGGAACCCCAAGGGATGAAAAATGGCCCAAGAATTAACCATAGGGGAAAGCCATTGGCACCCCTAAACCCAAAGGGCAAAAGAGGAGACTGGAACCCAGAGAAGGTTATAGCCATGGAATAGGGCTGCTCAGGAGTGGTGGCAGCCTCCTGTATGAATGCCATCTTGCTCCTTGCCTTTCTCTGCCTCATCAATCACTGCCCTCCTTCGTCTTCCCACGGTTCTAATTCAAGTCTTTATTTTCTATCACCTCTACTTTTCTCCATCAGGACACTCCATCTCTAGCTATCTTGTAGCATAGAAATAAATCCTGGCCCTTGGCTGTGTGGGTGTGTGTGTGTGTGTGTGCGTGCATGTGTGTGTGTATGTGTGTGTGTGTGTCACAAACCAGCATCTCAGGCTTTTTGTCAATTGTGTTAACCAATTTTCCGTCACTATGACAAAATACCTGAGAAAAATAAACTCAAAGGAGGAAAGGTTTATTTTGGCTCTGATTTCAGAGTTTTCAGTCCATGGTTGTTTGAACCTATCACTTTGAGCCTGTGGCAGAACAGCAAGGCAAGAGTACATAGTGGAACAAAGCTGCTCACCCCATGGCAACTGGGAAGCAAAAGGGAGAGGCCTTAGGGCCAAGGTCCCAATATCCTCTTCAAGGATACACTGGCAGTGACCTCACTTCCTTCTAATAGGCCCCGTCTCCTAATGGTCGTGCTACCTCCCAACAGTGCCATCACAGGGACTATGTAAGATCCAAACCATATCCTCAAGTGATGGTGGAGGATTTTTTTTTCCAGTTGTGAAGCTGCTAGGGTTGGTCCCTGATATCACAAAGAAGATGGATAATAAGATAAAGACTCAGTTTTAGGGGCTGAGGTTGTGGCTTAGGGATAGAGTGATCACCTAGCACGTCTAAGGCCCTGGATTCAATCCTCAGCACCACATAAAAGCAAATAAAGGTATTGTGTCCATCAACAACCAGAAAATAAATATTTTTTAAAAAGACTCACTTTTAGCTCTGTCCTTACCTCTAATAAGAGCTATGTCCAGTTTTCTCACATCTCTCCTTGGTGAGTGTCAATTTTCTTCCTAGGAAAAAAACAAACTTTCCTCATGTAGAGAAGAATATACCTCCTATTAAATAACTTGAGAGATAAGAATCCTAGAATTTGTGTTCTTTCTGATCTTGCTTAGATTCAAAACCACCATAGAAAGTGAACATGGCGGGGGGGCCTGGGGATATGGCTCAAGTGGTAGCGCGCTCGCCTGGCATGCGTGCGGCCCGGGTTCAATCCTCAGCACCACATACAAACAACGATGTTGTGTCCGCCAAAAACTGAAAAAAAAATATTTTAAAAAATTATTTTTAAAAAAAAGAAAAGAAAGTGAACATGGGTCCGTGTGAACTCTCCAGGATGCAGCACCAGCCCTAGGTTGTTGACTTCTGCTGTCTGGGGGTAAAGGGGAGGCTCAATCCAGTTTGCCACAAACAGATAAGGAAGAAGATAAATAGAAAGGAAAGGAGAATGTTTTTTAAGAGAACTTGTAACATAAACATCACATGCCTTCACTAATTATTTTGCCCCTCTGGGCCATAAAGAAATATTTGGGGTTGAATTGTGTCCCCACTCTCAAAATTCATTTGTTGAAGTCTTAACTCTCAGGATGTGCCTTTATTTGGGAACAATGTTTTTATGGATGCAATTAGAGTTGAGGTCACACTGGAGTTGGATGGGACCCAATTCAATATGACTACTGTCCTTGTAGGAAGAGAAAATTTGGGCACAGACTCATTTAAGGAAGGAAAAGGCACAGTTCTGTGTGACGTATCTACAAACTAAAGGACATCAAAGATTGCCAGCCATCTCCAGAAACTAGGGGACAGCCCTGGAACAAGTTCTTCCCTCACCAACCTCAGAAGGAACCAACCCTGCAAACACCTTGATCTTGAACTTCTAGCCTCTAGAACTTAAAGACAATACATTTCTGATTATACTGCTAGGTCCGTGGTACTCTGCAATGGGCACTTCTGCAATCGAATCCAATTTGAAACCTCGTGCTTTAAATATCTCTATAAAGAGTACTGAACTGGTGCTCTGGCCAGGCTTGATGCAGCAGGAACCTCACTAGGAATGTTCCAGACTTCAGTACCTCCTTCATGGAAATACCAGGGTCTGGGACATCCCACCTCATTTCTCCACAGTGATGATCACCATCAAGGTCCCCATCAATATTCAGGACAAGGACTGAAATATCTCACTTCCCACAGTCAGTAGGAGGGTTGTTATTAATATTAATGAGTCTATGCCTATCTTCACAAACAGCTAAAACCTGAAAACTCAGAACAAAATTTGTAGCATCACTGAAATCTCAGTTACTGATGTTCATTTATAGAAATCTATAAGGCATATTACATCTGTAAGTCAGACTATAATGTAACTCGTAGAAACCTTAATAGTTGATATTTTCTGGTGCCTTCCATAATAGAAGGAGGTGATTAAGTTCTCTAGCTTCACACTTTTTCCTGTTTACTTCTTCCCGAATATCTTCAAATCAATTATCCTAAATTTCTAGGTTTATAGTTTCTAATTCTAATTGCCTTTCTAAATACTTAAACAAGTAAATTTAGAACCTATAATTAAAAGAAAAAAATAAACTTCTCCCTCACCCATTTACCTGTGTTTAGGTGAGTTATGGGGGAGAAAAGTAGCAATATATCATGCTGGGCAAGAAAAAGGAAAACAGAAATCAGAGAGTGTAGAAAAATCCAAAGAATGAAGGGCATTTTAAGGAACTTAAAGATGAAGACAAATTAATAGCAAGAAATCAAAACCAATGAGAACAAATGTAAGGGACCCCAGATGCTTTTGAATTTATGTCAAACACTACTTCTATCTCCAAGAAACTCGACTGTAAAATAGTTCATGTCAGCTACATCTGGCTATGACCAGAGTGAGATCAATAAAAGACACACAAATCAAAGTTGCACTGTTATCTAAACATACTATATTGTGAATTTTACATCTCATTACATTGAGTTCTGTGCATGCAGAATTCCATTAAAATGTCTTTGTGCAGTTTCATGGGAAGTTCATTTAGCATAAAGTGTATTTGGCTGATTCTGAAGGAAGCATTCTCCAAGCCAGTTTGCCCAAGTCTTCAGAACAGAGCTGCTGCCTGGAGCGCTGTGTGGGACCAGAGGAAACCATGATGGCATTGGCAGGTGATCAGTCAGCCTTGTTCAGAATCTCTAATAACTGCCTGTATACCACTTCATAAGCTTCTGCAGTTTGGCCTGTAATAGATTTTAAATATTTTAAACACGTTGAAAGTCCACATGCTTTTCATTTTTACACAGTGGCTCAAAATGAATCCAAGTTTTCTTGGTCCTACTGTTGCCATGAGAAGTTGTGGGACTTGTTTTCAGTTTGCTGTTGAACACCAAAGCCTGGAACAATCTTCCTGGGTCCTGGCAGGACCCAGAGGTTGGCCACATGCAGTCATTTGACTCTGGAAAGCTCTAAATGCACCACCGATTACAACCTCTGACCCATTTATCTCCAGACACCCAAGTCCCTGCTTCTCCTTTGCGGAGGCAAAAAAAAACGGGCATGATGAAGGAGCTAGTCAAGGCCAGAGATGCCCTTCTAGAATTCAAAATCGGAGATTGTTTTCTATCAACAGACATACAACGCTTAACACTTTAAACATACTCATTTGTGCAGAATATTGTCTGGTCTGATACCACCCTGTCTGTCTTGGATGACTCCAAGTCGTCCAAGGGTGCTCTTTCTCTCTTCTGTCCACCATCCAATTATTCACTGGTCTTATTGACTCTACTTTGCAAATGCATCTTCATTCCATGCCTTCATCTCTCCTTTCTTGGTCAGTTTCTTACCATCTCTTTCCTTCCTCAAGTGTAACAGTCTCACAACTAAACCTATCTAGTGTTGTCTCTCCATAGTTTGGAGAGACCCTAAAATTATTTTTGTCTAAAATAATTTCCCCTAAAATAATAAAATAATCCTTCAACGGGATCTGAAATTCAACTTTCCTAAGGGATTTTGCATTCACATAAGCAGCCGTTCTCTGTTGACCTATTTGAAGTGTTTTGAGGATTTTGTTACTACATCCCCTTTTCCTGACTCTCTTCTCTCTTCTGGGACCACTTTTCCCTCTCCTCTTTGTCTAATTCTATTTTTCCTTTGATTTCAGACTAAGTCCGATTTTTTTCCAAAATCCCTGATAGTGTAATTTGGCTATCCTACTGTAATTTTAAATTTATTTGATTAAGCCAGCACGCCTATAATCCCATTGGCTCAGGAGGCTGAGGCAGGGGGATCATGAGTTCAAAGCCAGCCTCAGCAACTTAGCAAGGCCCTAAGTAACTCAGTGATACCCTGCCTCTAAATACAATGGGCTGGGAAGTGATTTAGTGGGTACGTGCACCTGGGTTCAATCGAAAGAAAGAAGGAAGGAAGGAAGGAAAGGAAAGGAAAGGAAGGAAGGAAAATAAAGAAAAACATTGTGTGATTATTTAATTATTTAACTGGCATGTTAATGAAAGCCACAAGCCACAGTAATGGATGACATCAACAATCTCCAGAAATATTTTGAATCACAGGAAAAAATATTTATCAAGTTAACATTTTTACATAAATGTTGATTAAATTTGTTACTTGGATTAAGTCACAAAATTTTCAGAAAAGGGTCTCCCTGATGCCTCAATCTAATCTTCAAGTAGGCCCTGATGTCTCACCCCAAAAGTTTGTCTCAGCCTCAGCTAGTGACGCCCCAGCATGAACCATGCAGCCTACCAGCCTGATCCTTTATGCTCTTTCTTAGCTCTGTGACGTGGTCTTCTGTTCCTCCACCTGAAATGCCTACCCACCCCCTCCTCCTGTTCACCCTGAGAGGCTCAAATGCCACCTTCTATGGGAGGCCTTATCCCAGCTCCTCGGGTACAGCAGTCATTTGCTCCTCGTTGCTCTCACCATGCTTTGTACACTTAATCAGCAGCCATTACTGAGGAATTACTGCATGTAATAAATTGTACAGAAATTTGTAGGCATCTAAATAAAAGGCACAGTTCCTGCTTTCAAGGAACACATGGCACAGAGCTTGAGATGGACCAGAGGATAATTACTTTGCCCATGTTCACAGGGAAGGGGTTCCCTCACCTCATTCTCAGTGTGTTGTATTTATTTTTGTGTGGCTTCTCTAGGTGTGAGTTCCCTAAAGCTGAAAACCCATTTCTAGTTCACCTCTGAGTTCTGGCCACTTGTGTTCAGAGTCTAACAAAGAAGCAGCCTATATATTTCGTTGTTGTTGTTAATGAACATTTAAATGAACTTTCATCTTAAATTGTATTTTACATGAATTCATTCTCTTATTGGCCCCTCATTTCTATAGAGCTAACACAATCAGATCCTCTTAAAGCAAACAAAAGCATTAAATGAGCATTAAAAGGACATTAACAGGCAGAAAACAGAAGGACTATGGGGGTGGAGGGACAGGGGAAGTGGGTAGCTCTTCTAAGAGATGTTGTGTATAATAAAAAACATAATGGATATTTAGCCAAGAGGACCTGTACTAAAAACACTGGACCTATTTCCTATCTTCTTGGTAGATAATTATATTCTACATTTAGTGCTTGAATTTGAAGTTGCATGAATTTCCTGAAAATCAGATATACCTACACACACACACACTCACACACACATACACACACACACACACATAGCTAATCAAACAGAAATGGATTTTTGAGCAACTGAAATGTCACTACACTTTCACAGCTGTGGAAATGTTGGACATTTCCACAGCTGTAGATTATCTAGATTGAATATTTTAATTCTCTCTTGGCTTTGTCTGAAATACATGATGTTAATATAGAAAGAATAAAATTGAAAGTTGAGGCCAATACATTATAAATTTATTTTAAAAAGATAATTAAGATAAGTAGAAGATAAAATACCCCAGAGCAAAGACAAATAAATTCATAAACAAGGTAAGTAGAGCCAGGCAAAGCATTTATAAGTCAAAAACAAACTACAGTGAAGTCTCATGAAAATTTGAGGACAGGAAGAAATCTATTGCTAAAACAAAAATATATGAACTTAGAAAAGTAGAATTCAATGCAATTTCTATTTCTCAAATTCATTGTGCCATCAGTATAATCTTAAATGCTGGGCATGGTGGCACACACCTTCCATGACTCAGGAGGCTGAGGCAGGAAGATCAAGTTTGAGGCTAGCCTTAGCAATTCAGCAAGATCCTGTCTCAAGATAAAAAGGGGTAAAGATGTAGCTCAGTGGTAGAGCACCCCTGGGTTCAATCCCCAGAATTGCAAAGAGTAAAGAAGGAAGGGAGGAGGGAAGGAGGGAGGGAGAGGGGAAGATTGATTTAGATTGAGGTGGTTTGGGCTGAAATCATTCTATGATACACTGAGAGCATAATAGAGAGATCTCTTACAGCAAAGCAGATAAATTGCCAAGCCTCTGGGCTGGCAGTTTCGCCTTTTCTTCTGATAATATTCACACATGGTGGATAAACCCAATTTTCCATAAGCTATGGGTATTGCACCCTTTCTGGCTAACAGACGACGACTGTACAGCCCCGTGGAGAAGCACCAGTCTAAGGACAATACCTCTGTTTACAGGCTGAAGCCTGAGGTTAAGCAAACACCCAAGGATTCCCGGGTACTTAATGGCACAGAAAGCCTTCCAAGTCTCAATTCCTTGTTCATTTAATTTGTCACTCTGAATTGGTCCTCCTCATCAACATCATTATACTTCATAGTTTAAAGGTATTTCTAAACATCATATCTTGATGGAGACTCTCAACCCTGTGAGGTAGGCACTACTGTTACCATGAGCATTTTAATAGATGTCTAAATAGAAGATGTGCAAGAAGAGTAGTAGTAGGAGGGCTTTATTTATTTATTTACTTATTTATTTACTTATTTTGTCTCTCTCAGACCTTGGGCCACACTGTACCAGTTTGATTAAATAGTTTAACTAGCAAATCTGATTGATGGTGAATACCTGTGTGTCTTTTCCCTTGACTAATTTTAACCTATATTATTTTGCTGTAATAAGCCATGACCATGAGTGTAATAATTCTTCTTCATCTTATGAGCCCTTCTACTGAATGACTGGACCTAAAGGTGGTTTTGCTCCCACATCCAGTTTACCTTTGCTGCTAAAGGACATTACCACAAACTTGACAGCATTAACAGTACAAATTTATTCTTTTACAGATGTTGAGGTCAGAAGTCAAAAATGGGTCAGCAGGGCTGTGTTCCTTCTGGAGGCTCAAGGGACAATTTATTTCCTTACTTATTCTAATTTCTAGAGGCTATCTGCGTAACTTGGCTCATGGCCCAATTTCAAATCCAGCAGTGTATCATGTAGCATCTTCAAATCTCCTTCTCCCTCCTCCCCACATTGGTCATTATGTTGCCTTGTAACTTCTTTTCTTTGACCCTCCTGCTTCACCTCCCTCCTATAAGGAACACTGTGATTTCACTGGAACCACTTAAATAATCCAAGATAATGTCCCCCTCAAAATCCTTAATCTCATCTGTGATTGTTTAATATAACATTTGCACAGTTTCCAGAGAGTAGGACTTAAGTTTATCTGGGGATGGGGAGAGGGGCATTATTCAGGCTACCACCATATGAAAGGCTTCATGCCACACAAAGGCCAAAATGGTGGTGGCTCCTGTTGGCCTGTTTCCTGGACAACTGCAGGACTTATCTCACTTCTCTCTGCCTGCTCCCTGCTCTTGGCAAGAGGAAGACAGCAAAGGGAGAGTGTGGAGGATAGCTCTCTAAGAACAACGCAGTTGGCCTCTTCGTGGAGAAACTGATTTCTGGTTATTCTTGTTGAGAATTTGTTTGGAAAAAAGATGTTATTCTCAAATTGCAATCATAAGGACCAACCCCAACAGAATCACTTGGAAATTTGTTAAATTCAACATTCCCGACTGTGCCCTCAATCCACAGAGGTACTGGTTTTGTAAGGCTTCAAGAGCTTTGGCTTATAAAATTTTGTTTTGTTTTGTTGTTTTATGGAGAAAAACAAAATATCTCCTTCATTTTGCTTCCTGGAAAGATTATGTCACCTTTACCTTCCCAATTATGTTTCTTAAAGGGTGTCCATTACCCAAGGGGCTCCCTGAAACCTCAATTAAGATAAACACTTTAAACCCAGACATCATTACCATTACTTTATGCCAAACTATTATTATTTGGCTTGAAAACCTTTCTTCCTCAAAGCACTCTGGGATATATATTTGTTCTTTAAATAAACTGAATAAAATATTTTTAAAATTTACAACTCTGAGGCAACTGGAGATAACATGTAGAATCACTGATTTATGCAATGTGTTTGAGAATGAGAACAAGTTTGTGTGAGGAAAATAAAGACTCAACAGTAGAACTGTGAACCTAATTAGTCATTGTCAACCTAATTAGTCACTGCCTCAGCACTGAGCTTATTCAACTATGAGCACATTGGAAAAGGCCAAAATATGCAGTTTTCTGATGGGCCCCTGATTTATCTGGTTATTTATCTGAATTATAGCAAAAGAAACACAGGAGTTGGGGTCCTGCCACTCAAAGTCCTTGAAGACCATCAGCCTTTGGGGAACAAGCCAGCAAATGCTTGAGTTTTTTTCTTTTCTTTCTTTCTTTTTTTTTTCCCTGCTGCTATAACCTTGCCTAAGGCTGGTTTCAGGCAAGCGACTCTGAGCACAATTGATTCAATGTTTTGGGTCATGTGAATTGCGCAGCTGGGTCACCATATGCTTAATCCTGGAGAAAGGTGAAGTGCACAGTTATTAATGTGGCCCCAAATACAAGTGGCTCACAGCCAAATTGGGAACTGCTACAGGCCTGGCCGTGATTTGATCTTCAAGTTAAATCACACAAACCAAAAAAAAAAAAAAAAGACTTAAGCCTTTTCAATTTATGTGATTTTTCCAGGAATCAAGATTTTGTGTTGGATGTAAGCAGGATTTGGAATGACCTTAAGTTTGACTTTTGTGAATGTCAGTTCCTAGCCCAGTTCCTGTGAGGAAGCCCCACCTCCAAATTACCAGGCCACCACCTTGGACAATTTTGCTGTGTTTAAAGAGCTTACAAAACAAAATTGCGCTTGTCAGCATATAAGCCTTTGCCACAGGGAGAGGCTCTGAAAGGCTTGCCTTCAGAATTTTCAAAACGATGGCAAATTTAGCCAAATTGGGCAAAAACGAATCAGGTTTCACAAATTTAGGAATGTTTATGTAAATCTTTAAAACATATGTTGCCACAGCTGTGTTTAGCATAAAATTATGATGAAAATAATCCTAATGAAAATGACGGTGTATTTATGTAATGCCGTCCACCCAACAACGCCAAATCCGCTACACAACTGATCTCATTAGGCCTGACTAAATCCCTTTGAGCTACAAGGTAAATATTAGTTCCAATTTGCAGAAGAAGAAACTGGGACATGGGCAAAGTTATTCGTGGCTAAGTAGATTAGTGCCAACCAGCCTGCCTCTTCCACCTGTGATTGCACTCTGAGCAGACTCTGGAGCAGAGAGGAGGGCAAATCAATGCCTACCTCCACACCTCCCCGCGTGGGTATCCTGACCTTGTTACAGGGAAAAGCAGAGATGAAGAGAGCATCACGCCATTATTCTTAGGAATTCACTGTGTTCTCAAGGAGAAATCCTATCCTCTCCAAATGCACCAATGAGGACAGGAGTTGTGAAGGCAGGAGACAGTTTTATATCTTGGTTTTACTGATGGGGTCAAGACATAGAGAGGAAGAAGTTAACTCAGAACCACCCCTTCCCCAAGCCAGGACCATCTTACTCTGTTCTTTTCACTATCATGACTGTATCCGTCTGTGTTCTGCTGCAATAACAGACCACCACAGACTGAGCAAATTACAAACAACAGAATTTTATTGGGCTCATGAATCTGGAAACTGGCAAGTCAGAAGTCAAAGAGCTACATCTGGTGAGGGACTTCTTGTTCTGCTACAACAGGGTGGAAGGAATGTGAGCATGCACCAGAGAACACGTAGGAGAAATCCTCCTTTTATCAGGAGCCCACTCCCAAGATTATTAGCCCACTCCTTCTATTAAGGCCTTAATTTATTCCTGAAGGCTGTGCTTGATGTCCTAATCACCTCTTATAGGTCCCACCTAACACTGTTACAATAGCAATTGTATTTCAAAAAGAATTTTAGAGGGGACATTCAAACCACAACATTGACTGAATTTTCTGTCTTTTTAAAAATGTTGGAGAATGATAAGAACTGTTCACAAAATGCCCTCTGCAAGCTCAAGTACTTCAGTTTGGACTACAGAATGTTGTCTTTTCCCGAATGTAGATTCTCCCTAAGTGGTAGAATTTACCCAAGCATTCAAGCATATTGTAATGGAATTCCTAAAAGAGTCCCAGTGGGTTTCTGCCAACAAATGATATATTTTGGCACACGTTGTCCTCTTTTTATAGTTGGTACATGGTACAGCAACTGCAAGATCACTGCCTTAGAATGCATGAATAAAATACCTAACATAAGAACCTGCATGGTACCTGAACGCTGGAGACTATCAAAGTACTAATTTTTTATTCCATTTTCAGCAACACATTTTCAATTGCAGTTTCTAACTAGAAAGAAGGTTTTGCTTAATCTCTGCCAATCAGTATTGATGTTAGGTATGTGCTTTCCAAATTCAATTAAACAATGGCCTTTCTTCCATTCAGAAAAAAAAAAAATTCCATCCAACCATTTTTGCCAAAATCTCGACTTAAGTCTGCCCAGGAAGGACATTCTCTAGAAATAGAAGAGAAAAACAAACCCTTTTAAATATTTTATAGACTTTATCTCTATTTGAATTCTCAAAGACCCAGAATATATTTAATTTTAGTAAAAATGTATTGACCTGTGTGTGGAGAACAGCTTTCATTGCCAGACACCTTTCCTATTGGGTGTGATGGATTGCAGGTGACCGAGGCTCTTCCTGTGATGGATTTGGGCTCTTATCCTACCTTGTTACTTATTCATTGGGAACCTTAGGAAAGCCACTCAAACCATCCAAATTTGATTTGTCCTGTGTAAAATGGAGATAAAAATGCATAGCTTAGCAATTGTGAAGACAACTTCAACATAGAACTTTCCTTCCTAAAAAGACTCAGAGTGAATGAAGATATTCTTCACTTTGACTTTTCTAGTCACTTGCCCCAAATTGGTAAAGATTATCAAAATCAGTCTGTATTTTATATACTCTGTGTGTGTGTGTATGCATGTATGTGTGGATTAAATACACCAAAATATCAATAGCAGTTATCTCTAGAAATAGAATGGTGATGTATTTTTTAAGTTTTTTTCTTAGTGTTTTTCTGTTTTTCCAAATTTTCCATCATTACTAATAAAAATGTACATTTTTTTCAACTAATTTTCAGAAAATCACTGAGTAGCTCCACATTGTTTGGGAAAAACAAAACCAAGCCATAAATATTTGTTGTTGTAAAAATAAAATTTTAAATGGCTAACCAAAAATCTTATATTTGTATAGAAAGGGAAATCAAGACCCAAAAAGAATTTCAGCCAAAGCCTTCTTGGCTGCACTGATTGGAACTTACTTCCCTGGGTAACCAGATGACCCAGAGAGCTCTAGGGATGGGTATAAAGGAGGTGGCCACTTGACCCCAAGTGTGCTGCTCAACATCCCCCACCACCTGACACTGGAAAGATTTCATCCCTCCCCCTTTCTTTTTATGGACCCAGCTGTTAGATAGCCACCCTGTTCATTGAGTCCACTGATTTGCACAGATTTATAGAGGTAAACTTAACAAATCCCTATATCATAATGTGGTCACTTGTTAGTCAACTGTATTGCTTCTGTGATTAAAAAAAAAAAAAAAACTGACAAGAACCATTGGAGGGAGAAAAGTTTATTTGGTGGCTCATGGTTTCAGAGGACTCAATCCATAGTCAGCCAGCCCCATTCCTTGGGAACCAAGGTGAAAGTAGAACATCATGGCCGAAGAGTGTGGAGGAGGAAAGCATCTAGTGACATGGCAGTAGGAAGCAGAGAGAGAGCTTTTTACCTCATGGACAAAATATAAACCCTGAGAGCATGCCCCCATTGACCCACCCCCTCTGGCCACATTCTACCTACCTACTGTCACCACTCATATTAGGGAATTAACAGATCAATTAGGTTAAGGCTTCTAACCCAATCATTTTGTCTCTAAACCTTCTCTCATTGTCTTACACATAAGCTTTTGGGGGACACCTAATATTCAAACCATAACAGTCACTCAATTAATGTGGCAAGGATACGGCTTATGTTAAGGGTCTTGCCATCACTACTTCTGTCTGGGACTTCCAGCTCTCAAAGATGAAGGGCTGAGAAGCTGGGCTGGGTCTAGCGGGAGGTCAATGAAGCACTAACCTCAGGGACCAAATTCAAGCACATGCCAAAAAACTCACTAATCAAAATAAATAATGTCCATGCGTTATTTTAAAAAATCAAAATTAGTGGGAAAATTCATGATAAAAAAATCAACATTTTAAATACAACATATATATCATGAACACTAGGTATTTGGTCTTTGTTCCTATTTCCTGGCACAGAGCTCCTAAAACCTTCGGGATTCCCTGAGTGATGAGAATATCTTTAATTATAGGGTTATTCATAATGAGCCCCTTTTAACCATACTTGAGTCTATCCTAATAAGGTAGATTTATAAACAGTTTCAGGATAGAGGAAGCAACTGTGTGGTTAGAGTTGGAACTTTGAGTCTCATCTCTAGACCTCCAGGGAGGAAAGAGGGCTTAGAAATTGAATTCAATTACCAATGGCCAATAATTTGATCAATCATGGTTTCATAATAAAATGTCCATAAAAAGCTCTATAGAATGGGTCCCAGGGATCTTCCAGGTTAGTGGTCACATGGAGGTGCTGACAGCATCAGTTAAGTTGGAAACTCTGCACTAAACCCCACCCCTAAACCTCAAACTTTGTATCTCTTACATTTGTCTGTTCCTGAGTGGCAACTTTCATAATAAACCAATAAAAAGAAGAGTCTGGAGAATTCAAGAACCTGAGGAGGGGGTCAGGGGAATCCCTGAGTTGATAGTTGGTAGACAGAAATGTGAATAGCCCAGGCATCCCTTTTGTAGATGGCATCTGAAGTAAGGGACGTCTTGTGGGACTGAGCTTTACATCCATGGGGTCAGAATTAAATTACATATTTATATTGGAGAATTTGGGGGGAGAAACTATAGCATTTGGTGTTGGAGAAAAAACATACATTTGATGTCAGAAGAAGATAGATCGGAACCCTGTGCCAGGCCATATAGTGCCAGGTAGGAGAAAGAATGATGACACCCAACTCTTCTTTATCACAACTTGTGATATTTTATCAGAGATTTCTGGCATTCATTTTATTTTTCAAAAATATTTCATTAAAATCTTTTTCTTGATTACTGAGTTTCCCGGCCAATTAACAAATGAATGAAAGAAATATGGTTGATATAACCAAGAAGTGTATAACTGAAGCAAAGATTCTGCTCCTGATTTCTTCTCTAAGACCGCAGCCATGGAGAATGAGCTGTTCGACAATTCACCATAAAACAAATGCCCTGTTCCCAGATTCCAAGGTGATGATTCTTCTTTCATTTGTAGATAATACCTAGCTTTTTAAAACCCAAAACCAAGAAAATCACAAACGGCACCACTGAAATGGTGGATTTGAGGATTTGAGTCCTGGCAAGAATGGGACATGGAACTTAACAGGCCATGGTCCTAGAGCCCCTACAGGGGCATAACCAGGAAACAGCCATCTGGGGGCAGCCAAATGAGAGAGGGAGGCCAGAGCTGGGTCCAGAGATAATGAACCAACTAGTATCAGATCTATGAGGCAAGGCAGAAAACACAGTGGTTAGTGGCTCAGCTCCTGTGGTGGTGGCTGTAGTTAATCGCTTGTTAGAACCTTACAGAAATCAACTGGAAAAAAATAACTCAGATTCCATCGTATATATGGTTTTAGCATCAAACATTAGCCAAAGGGGGAAAAAAAGAATTTTTGAGGGGTATATTTCTTCACTAAGTTTTACATAACCCAGCTCTAAACTTCTGGAACTCTTAATATAACCTTGAAATCTCTTGGCAGCAACATTCGAACACTACAGCTTTTCCTAACATCCAGAGCACCATGCTTCAGTGTGCTAGTTCAACTCTGCAGTGTGAAACCGCTGTTTCGGGGCAGTGAGGAGCAATGACTGACAGTGATGTAATTCTAGAAGCCAAAAGCTGAGGTTGTACATAGAGTATCACAGTTTCTACCCAAGGCCAATTGTTTCCCCAAGCTAAGAAATTTGGATTTTGACACTTGAAGGAATTTTTCCACATTGCACGAAAGACAGGGTCCTCTGAAATGGTTCACCCAGCCTTCACGGTCATGTTGGGTACTCACAGAGCGAGTGAGTTGGATTTTATGAGACTTAGTGACAATTTTACTTTATAGAATCTCACTTTTTTCTAATCTCTCTTTATAGATTTTTTTTTCTCTTGTATTTCGTGGTACCTCCAGAATGACACTACAGTTTTAAAAAGAAACACTTTATTCCACCTTTGAATTGTTTGTGTTGTTACTCCTGTTTGTGCTCTTACCTTGGTGTTTGCTTTAAGATAGTATGGGTTGGGTTGGGGAAAGAAGGATATAACAAGTCTTCCACTCAAAATTTTATAGTTCTGAAAATTTATATCTTGGTGTCTTCACTGACAGAAAGTGGAGAAATTAGATCTGTAGAGATTAAGAACTAAACCAATGTCATTCAGCTGGTTGGTGGCTAAACAAGGGATGGACTTGAGTTTCCAGTCACAACTCTCATTAAACCATCCAGTGCCACAACTCTCTAGCAGCCAAATGGGGTCTGTATGGATGTGTAAGTGATTAAGACAGAGTCATAGCAGATGTTAAACGCCCTCTTCCTAAATGGTATGAGGTTCCCCGCAGCTTCTATAGGGCCTCAAATATGGGCAAAAGGCCTCGACTTTAAACCACTTGTATCCCACAGGAGGCATGGGGAGCCCTCGGTAACATGGGAAGGTGTTCCTTCCCATGTCTGGTCCCTGAACTAAGGCAGGTCCCCCAGAGGCACTTTGGATTCTCCAAAGGCATTGAGTGACCACCACCCTGTACTGGTATCCTTAGGCCGTAAAGCACTGCCCACAGGCCCTGCACCCCATATTCAAACCCTTCCCGTTCCCCAGGAAGATACTCCCCTCCTGCCCTGCAGTGACTCTCTTCAGTCCAAAGCATCGGCCCCCATCTCCCATAGGTCGGACGTGATCTTGTTGCAACTTCATCAGTGGCCAGAAATGCAAAACTATTTCTTTCCTGATGATTGTATAAAACAAACCCAGTATTGTAGGTCTGGATGAGAGAAAGAGAGAGGGAGGGAGGGAGGGAGGGAGAGAGAGAGAGAGAGAGAGAATTGTCTGTATTAGTCAGGTTTTTTTGTTTTTGTTTTTGTTTTTCCATTATGATCAAAATGCCTGACAATAGAAACTTGGAGGAGTTTCAGAGGTCTCAGTCCGTGGTCTAACAGCTCCATCGCTTTGAGGGCTGAGGTGAAATAGAACATCATGGTGACAGGGCACTGCAGAGGAAAACTACTCAGCTCCTGGCAGCCGGATAGCAGAGAAAGAGACAGCGAGCGAGCGAGGAAGGTCCCAGAGAGAAAATAAACCCTTCTGAGCCATATCCCCAGGGGCCTACTTCCTCCAACTAGGTTCCACCTCCAGTGCTCCATTCATCCATCAATGGACTAACCCACGGACAAGATCAGAGTCTTCATGATATAATCACTTCCCCCGATCCCACCTCTGAACAGGAGATTTGAGGGACACTCCAGATCCAAATCACAACACTGTCTTGGTCCATTTTTGTTGCTATAACTGAGTACTCCAGACAAGTAATTTAGGTAGCTCATGGTTCTAGAGTCTAAAAAGTCCAAGAACTTGGTTCTGGCATCTTCTCAGCTTTTGATGAGGGCCATCTTGCTGCAGCACAACATGGTGAAGAACATCAAGTGGTGAGACAGAGCCAATGTACTACCTGATGTCTCTTCCTATTATAAAGCCACTAAAGCTATCATGGGGACCTCACCCTCATGACCCCACCTAATCCTAATTACCTCCTAAAGATCCTATCTTCAATATTAACATAGGAATATGAGGATTGAATTTCCAATACACGAACTCCTGGAGGACATATTCAAACTGTAGCGGTAGCCAGTCTTGTGTTCTTGTCAATTGCTATGCTCATAGGTTCTGCTTTCTCCTGGCGGATTTTCAGGGAGCTGACTGCACTCTGTAAGACCCATGGCCTGCTCTCCTCCGTCTTCAGGAATCCCCTTCTCTATGTTGGAGTCACCAGAACCTTCACATGCCGCTTCCCTTCACCCACCTCAGACCCCAGGCACTACCTCTGTAAACTTCTACAGGCCTGGCCTTCTTTACTGGCCTCTGCTTGACCTTACAGAAAGAAACCTTAAGGGCAAAGCTCATGCCATCTTGACCACCTCCAAGAAATAGGGAGAAACATTAGAAGAATAAACATGGATGAGCATTTGTTTAAATTATCCAGTTATCGGGGCTGGGATTGTGGCTCAGCAGGTAGAGCGCTCGCCTCACATGTGCGAGACCCTGGGTTCGATCCTCAGCACCACATACAAAAATAAACAAGTCAAATAAAGGTGTCATGTCCAACTACAACTAAAAAATAAATATTAAAAAAAAAACATTTAAAAAAATTATCCAGTTATATCTGGACACTACGCTTATTGCTATTATCTTTTTACTTCCCTTCCCTTCTTGTAGGCTTATTCCTTGAGATTTTAGGAGGGGGTGAAAATAGATTATGATCATCCTGTCATCTTCATTGGGCATGCCCCATGCTTTTCTGCCATTTGGGAGTTTATGGATGCATACATTGATCTAGTCTGTTTTTTCTGCATGTTTATTGAGTTCAAAGCTTGAATTTTAGGAGAAACCATGTTCCAAGTTACATTCAAATTATCACTGGACACATTTCCATTTATGAATAACATTTCACAACTGAATATAACTTTGAGTTTTACGGGACATTTTTGATTTTTCTAATTTAATCCTATGAGGTAGGCAAAGATCTAAGATGCGGGCGAATTCAGTCCCAATAGCTGTGAGATCCACACAGCTAGTCAGTGGTAGGCCCAGCTCTCAAACATGTCTTCTGGCTCCTGACTACGCCATGTGAATGTGGTCTCTCTCTTTGTCATTTTGCCTTTCTTTTTACAAAGGAAACAAATCAGGAAAATGTGTTTCTTTTCACAAATGTGACACAGTACAGAAAGCTTGCTGAAAAAATAGTCACATTCCTGAAACAATCCCGGCTGCCTCCCCTCTCTGGTCCGATGCAGGGAAGGCGGTTTGCTAGCATTGGGTTGGCCACATCTGTCAGGGTTTGAAGGTCTAGAATGTGTGGTAGGGACCGCCTACCCCACAAGGGGGCCTATTGATGATTTGGCTCAATCTGAAACTCTACCCACCCCCCCACCCTCCATCTTCCTGGGGCTTCCTTGGTCTCAGAGCCTTCTGAAATCTCAGAGAAAGCATCTCCCTCTGGTCCCCACGATGTTTTCACATCTTTGCTCCCTTAAGGAGATCTGCACATCTGTTTCCCATGACTGTGAACTATGAGAAGTTGTCAGGGCCTTTCAATCAGTATAACGGCCTATAAAAGCTTGCTGTATTTTCAGTTTTACTAAATATTTCTATAATTCAAAAATTATGGAAATGGATAATGTTTCTGTTCTTTGGGAATATATTTAACAGCTGTGTGTGCACCAGATGCAAATGAATATATAGAAATAAATTGTGCATTTTATAGACTGCACTTCATATTAACTGCCCTCCCCCACCCACCCACCCCCTTCAGATACCTCATCTCTGCTCCTGCCAGGATATCCAAGATCCTGGAGCACCTTGCAGGGGACAGTTTGCTTTTTAGTTCCACCGCCCCCCCAAAATGAGGTATAAATCCATCTGCAAAAGAGAGTATTTCCTGAGTGGAGAAGCAACTTGCTAAGGTGACTCTGACATTAGGAATTGTGGGAAATAGGTTAGGGTGCTAAATATCCAATAGTGGTGATCCAACATTAAACATGGTAAATTAGGTTCCTGACTGATCGGTAACTATGTAGTGAACAGTTGTCATATCTTGGCCTGCCCAAACTCTACATCAGAAGTTGAAATAGCTAGTCTTTGCTCTTCCTGGTCCCTGGCAACTACCGTGCAGGGACAAGATTCAAAAATGTGCCAATTGGTTATTCAGCCCAAGACTTCACACTTGATGCAAGGGATCAAAAAAATCAAGAGCAAGTGCAGGACTCTCAATGTAACAGCAGTCTCCAGGGTGCAGCCCTTGCTGCAGAGTGGCTGGGGCACCTGACCCCCCCCCCCCCCGCCACACAGAAAACACCTGCTACATGGTTGTATCATTTTTCTAGATGAAGATCCTGAGCCTCAGAAGAGATTCAGTAATTTGTCCAGGGTCCCTTGGCTTATAAAAGACAGAGCTGGGGCCCAGGGGTGTAGCTCAGTGGTAGGGCACTTACCTAGCATGTTTGAGGCCCTGGGTTCCTTCCTCAACCCTGGAGCAAAAATCGGAAGAACAGAGACTTCAGAACCTTGTGCCTTTCCCACGGAGATACATTCTTCAGTGCTCCTAAAAAATCTTCTGGTCAGCATAATATTGTGATTTTCATTTTGGTGGGTGGATTATCAGGCTCTGCCTGATTTTCTCAACTAGGGAAAAAAGTTTCAGTGATCCATAAAACTATCCCAGCTTGATTTCTCTCCCTGCCTTGTGCCTTTTTAATACTCAAAGTCAGGTGATTCCAACTCCTAGGGCAGGTTGTTTGGGCTAAGGAGAACAGAAGCTAATCCCATGTCCACATCAGACAGAGAGGGTTTTCATTCAAAATTGCATTTTGTCAAATTTAGTCAATTTCTCTCTCTTGCCTGTGAACCCTTTGGCTTTTGAAGCCTTTGATTGTGCACACCCTTGTCATCCTCTCACCCTTCTTTATGTTAAACAGCATCATTTCAGTCCTGGGAACTTGTCAGTTTCCAGAGGGAAGAGCCACGATTTCAGATCCTTAAATTAAAAACAGGGAGAAAATGTTCCCTTCCATCCATCAGAAAGAACACTCGCTCTCTCTCAAATTTGCTTTCTCGTACTTCATCTCTGCTCTTTGTCTGAATAGACTTGACAGAAAAATTATTTGGATGTGTCATGTGCTTGTCATCTCAGGCCAACAAATTGATGGTTTAATGCAAAATGACAAGGCAGCTCAGGAATCTCATACCGAAACCTACCTCACTCTATGGTTTCAGGAACAAGTCATCCCACCCGGGAATTTTAAGTAACACTTTGGCACAGATCTCATTTCCTGGCCATTGAGTTCTTATTGAAGACACCAGCTCTGGAAGAGAAAGAGTAGCAGGAAATGTACCATAGTCTCTTGTCTCCAAAGACAATATTCTTCCCACCAAAGAAGGGGAGATTTTTCTCCATCTTCTCCAATGGAAAAACATCTCTTTGTCTCTCTGCCTCTGTCTCTTGTAATCTCTCTCTCTTTCTTTTCTTTTTCCCCTCTTTGTTCTCTTCCTCTCCCCACCAAAAAAAAAAAAATGCTCAAAAAAAGCTCAAACATCCAACAACTCAAAAAACAATATCAAGGGTCAAACAATTCTGCTTATAGGATTACTTTTTCACCAAATAAAATGGCACCATGTTGAATTTTGATGGCTCCCAACTTACAATGGTGGAACTCAGGATTTTTTGATTTTATAATGGTGTGACTGTATACCTGTACAACCATTCTGGTTTTTACATTTAGTACTGTATTCATTGAATGACATAAGATATTCAATATTTTATTTTAAAATTGAGAGAATTTTGCCTTTTGCTAATAGAAGTGTTCTGAGCATGTTTAATGTAGACTCAGTGAAATCATGACGTTTAGCAGGAAAGGTGTACTCCAAACAAATTCGACTTATGGTATTTTCAACTTACATTGGATTTATGGGGAGGTAACATGACTGTAAGTTAAGGGGTATCTTGAACCACAATACAGCTGATTGGCAAAAAGCCTCACACTTGGGGCAATGAGGCTAGTTCCTGCCACTGTGTGATTTGGGCTAGTCTTTTGATTTCTGTCGATATGTTTCTTTCCCATGAAAATGGATGGTGAGAGGTGGGGAAGAACTGAATGTGCATGCTTCATTACCTCAGCCTGGAAAATGGGGGCTGCCCCCTAAGAACAAAGAACTAATAAAAAATTGTTCTAGAAGTCTTTCCTCCAAAACATGGGATGATTATCATTTTTTTATGTAGAAACTATATTAAACTAGAGATCTAAAAACATGACAACTAAAAACAAATAAGATTACAAGTAGGCTTAAAGTGAGAAAGGCTTGTAGAGATCATCTGTCTGTCCCCCTCATTCAACAGTGATGGGACCTGAAGTCCAAACAGGCAAGGAGACAGAAACCTAGAGCATCTCACTTGCAGTTTGTCCCTGGCAATTGCTACACACAGGAGGCCTATGTGGGACTCAGTATTGCTTGGCTTGTGAATCATTGTTCCATGAACTTTTGGCAATTAGAATCTAGGGAAAGAATGATGAATGAAATCCCACCGTTGCCATTAAGATGTTAGATAGAAATCTCTCACATGCATTTTTGTGGGTACAGAGGGAAAAACAAGAAGACAAATCTACTGGATGTTTCCATTGGAGAAATGGGCCTGATAATTACTGCGAGGGAAATTACTTGCTCACTTTGTATCCTGACTTCACCAAGGTCTTATCATTTACATATATTATTTACATATATTATTCTTTCCTTGAAATTCAGGTGCAGGGGGCAGGAATGTTGTGCCTCCTAGAGTCTTATTTAATAATTATTTGTCACATTGCAAGAAAAATTAATACCCTCAGACATAAATGTTCTAATCTTTCCAGCTGCTGACCTAACCTAATTCTGTCCCCAGCTCTGAGTATATCTAAAGTCCATGATGGCTATCATATATTAACATTAACTGACCTCAATTGCATTTTTATACATAATTAAATTGATTATTTAACTGGTGGGTGGATTGCTCACTAGGAGTGTTTATATTTTAAAAGGAATTTGAAAATCAACAAATAACTTCATAACAAAATAGTCCTATAAGTGCTAAATATGGTTTTTTCCATGTTTCATATACAGAATATGGCAGCCCCAAATTGTCTGCAGCCACCAGTTAAATAATTCAATTGTGGCACACCAACAGGCAACAAAGAAAGCAGAAGTTCCATTGTTTTTGACATGCAAAGAAAAACAAATCCACGACTGGGACTATAAGGAAAGTAGAAAATTCAGTGTGCTCATTCTTCTAGCAACTAACGTTTGTTGGGTTTTTTTTTTTTTTTTTTCCCTACATGGTTGGATGCAAACCAAATTATCAGCTAACTCATGGGCACATATTTTAATCATAAATTTTTAGACAACAGGACTATAGAAGAGGATATTTGAGAGGAGAAAGATTTCTTTCTTCGTTGTTTCAGCAGATGGGTGCAAGTTTTTAATTCTACACTTTTCGGTGCACTATTTTAAGAAATGACTGAATGTATCTAAGTACCTAGCTTTAAAAGTGTGGTTACATGTATTTTGAAAACCAAGCCAAGAAATACAAGCCCCATAAAATCCTGAAGCATATTAAATGACGGTTCCTTTTTCCTTAATCCACCACCACAAATATCAATTAAATGTAATTATATTAAATAGGTTCCCCTGAGAGCAAATAAAGATTTGCCAGAACACAAATTGCTACCCAGGTGAACAATATATAATTTTCTTGAGTATACAGACAAATACAGATGGTACACTCCAGAATGTAATGCAGCAAATCTGGGTTGACTGTAACATATACATTGATTTTTTTCTTTCCTAGCTACCAAAATGGCAGGGGGCCAAAAACTACAAATAAAATAGATGAGTTTTTCTTTCTCTTTTCTTGGATGAGAGGATAAATATTGCATTTTATATTAATAGCTGTTAATTAAAAGGCTATTAATCAGAGACAATAATAAATAAATGGCCTCTACTAGAAGCAAATGCCAGAAATGAACATGTAAGTTTTAGCCACAAAAAAAGAACCTTATTTAAGTGACTTCCTAAAATTAAAAACAAATGCTTTGCTGAGCTTACCGTAAGAGGAAGAAATGAATCCATAAATAAGAAAACAGGTAGAATAAAAATGAATTTTGTTAACTATTTTAGGAGATTACTATTCCACTCCTCTTGAAGTGGAAAAAATAGATTTAAAAACTTTCTTAATTATAAGAATGAGCTTCCCAAAGATGTTTGAATTCAAAGATATCGGGGAATATTTCTAAAGAAAGTGGTTTTTTTTTTTAATTCTGCAAAAAAAAATGAAAAAATTTTGTGTTCATGGGCTTTTTTTTTCATTATATGATATGTAAGGTATAAATTTCTTCTGTCAGATGTTCCTAGGGATGGAAATTTAATTCATTCTTGGTGTGGTATGGAAAGCCTTGAAAAATAATCAATTTAAGATTGAATGTGCTGATATGTCAAGTATTTTTAGTCTCTGCCCTTTTTAAAGTCATAAAAATAATTATCTAAAACAGAATCTTGGAAGCAGGGACATTTTCCTTTTCCTATTGCTCATTCCCTTCAGATTGAAATCTCTGCCTCCACCCACCTCCCAGGACTAACTCTCACAGTAAGAATATGCCACTTCCAGATTTAGGAAGTGCTATGGGCAAGCAGAAGTTAAGGCTTTGCATCTCCTAGATTCTTAGTTTCCTGGGCTAGAAAACATGAGAATTAGCCGTTAAAAATCCTTCTCCTAAACAAGTGCAATAACCTGTGATCCCAGCAACTTGGGAGGCTGAGGCAGGAGGATCGCACGTTCAAATCCACTCTCAGCAACTTAGCACAGCCCTAAACAACTTAGCAAGACCTTGCCTCAAAATAAAAAATAAAACAGACTGGGGATATGTCTCTGTGGTTGCACCGCTGGGTCAACTCCAATACAAAAAAAAAAAAAAAAGAAAAAAAAAAAAAAAAGAAAGAAAAGAAAAAGAAAAAATCTTTCTCCTATTGGTGATTCTATATCTCATAAAAAGGTGAAACGCTATGATGTCAAGGAGGATCTCGTCCAGCTGTGCTCATAGCTGTCTGTTCAATTGAGGTCCTGGAAAAATTCTGTATGAAACTGGGTTGGGGGGACTTCCTCCTTTGCAGAGACACCCACATGCTGCTTAGAAAGCCCCCTGGGGGTTGGACGGCCTGATTCTGTGAAGTACATGGTTCAGGAGCAGGGCCAGGGAAGGGGTGATCGTACTCCCTGATGATGAACTTGTACCTGGAATAGAGTGGGAGGCAGGTGGATTCCACAAGAACCCTTTTCCTTTCCTCTCACCTCTGCCTTCTGCACCCTCCTCCACCCCCTCATCAATACCCTTTACTCCTTATTTCTCCCAAAGTTCCTTCTCCTCTCTATTTGGTATTACTAAACCCCAAGATTTCTGATCTGTCTTATAAATCTTGACAGTCTCTTTAGCAACAATTAGCAAATTGCAATTATTTTCTATGGCCCTGCTCTGCAGCAGGGTGGGGGGGTGGCGGGGGAGGTTCCATCCTAGGACAAGGCAGGGAAGTTCTAGAAGGTCTTACATGTAAGGTGACCTCTTCCTTCCTTGCTGCTCTTCCTACCCCACTCTACCTCCCACTATTGCTTTTTCTATCATCCCTCTCTCCTTCCTTCCCTCCCTCCTTCCTTCCCTTTCTCCCTCCCTCCTTCCTTCCCTTCTTCTTCCCTCCCTCCTTCCCTCTTTCCTTCCTTCCCTCCTTCCTTCCCTTCCAAACCATTCCTCCCCCTTCCTTTTGTCCCTACTTTTCTAGAGTACCTCAGAAAGACCACTCATATCCCATAGTTCTTGGCTTATTATCTACATGGTTCAAGGAAGGCTTCCCTCATTAGTTATCCTTCGTCTCCACTTCCTCCCCCTTCTCTTCTACCCACCCCAGGCAACCATTCTAATGTTTGATAAGAATCCTCTTGTTTTTGTATGTCCCTATAAAGTTCATAAGTACTTCTCCATATGTGCCTTGTAATTTATCTGCATGGTATTCCACTGAAGACCTCATGAGGCTTCTTATCATTGTCACTCATCATGTCATCTTGAATATCTTACCTATTGCCTTTACCAGATGCATGGCACTTCCCTAGGGGGTGATTGAGTAGGCATGGCCTCCACCTACCTTTGACTACAAATAGCACTGCAGTGAGCATCCTTGAATGTGTCTCTCTGAGACACGTGTTCAGGAGTTTGATGCCTTACTATGAGTGGATAGTGCCCGGTTGCTCTCCATAAGGGCTGTGCCAAGTGATTCTCCTGCCCAT